CATGGACCATGCCAGGTCCCATTTGGGTCTCTTAAGAGAGTGGTAGAGCTGCATGTTTCATTTCACTAATGATCAAATTTCCCAACCGATGTAATTAGAACCACCAGGTCACTGAGCACTCTTAATTAATGAGAAGTTCAAAGCCAATTCTACACACAACCTAGGTTTAATTTTCAGTTGCTATTCATTTGAAGGAAGTAAAATCTCTTTGTCCAAAAGTAAGGTGTTTTTACTTAAGTTTATCTTCAACATGGCCATTGGCACATAACCCATGGCTCCAGCCCCTCCCCCAAACACATACACTTCTAGCATCTCTATAAGACTCACTTATATGAAATGATTTATTCTGTTGATTATAAGAATAGCAGTACAAAGTGAGAAGCACCATGAAGTGTCAGGTAGGCAAAAGATAACATGATAAGGAGATGTGAGTAAAACCAAATGCAAAGATTTGTGTTTTGTGTTGTGTTTCCTTCCGTACCTTCACTTCCTAGGACAGTACCCAGCGGCACATACGAGGCACTGCGTAAAACTTATTGAATGAAACTTCTTTCACTGAAAGAAACTTCTTTCATTGAAATTTCTTATTCTTTATCACTCACACTTGCCACTCAGCCCCAGGTATTGCCTCTGGAACTCCATCAGCCTTCTCTACAGGACACCCAAGGAGACATCAACCCTGCAGGGTGGCCCCATGGAGCACCCATCTACACGCCGTCTCTAGCATCACCTCAACGTGAAACATCTGCTGACCCAAAACAGACGCTGCATGGAGGATACTATGCTGGCTTCCATCAAAGTGTCTCCCTTTTCAGTCAGGATGCTACCTAGAAGTCCCTTTTTTATTTGACATGTAGATTTGACATGTAGCAGCCTGGGTTCAATCAAGAGATAGAACCACAAAATGGGTTAAACAGCGGAAGATTAATATAAAGAGTAAATCATGATAAAGATAAAATATAAAGAAGCTCTGTATGGTACCTTAGGGCTGTGGGAGAATACTCAAAGAACAAATGTGGGAGGCGGGGGTCCCCTTGTTAAGGCTGGGGATCAGACCATATTGAGAAAGGTATATTTCAGCCCAAAGAGAGAAGGAAAGCTTGCTGGTTTGCCCAGCCTGGAGCTGGTCTGCAACCTCATGGGCAAGCAGGACGCAGTCCTCCAGAGTGGAGGTGAAGAACAGGTGAGGAGCACAGCGGTGGGGGCATGCCGAAGGGGTAGGGCCCCTCCAGGCTGCAGAGGAATCTGGGAGCCAAAGCAGTGGGGGAGACTTTGATGCAGACAGGAAGCCATTGGGACATCAGTTCTCTTTCATGAGAGGTGTAGAAAGGCGATAACGAAGCAGAGACTGCGAGGTGGCTCAGGGTTCCAGGCCCATGGCGAGGGCAGAGTTCCACCAAATGTGTGTACTCTGACACCGCTATGGCCACCCACCCACCTCCATCTGCTGCAGCAGGAAACAGCAGGAGAGCCCCTTTCTTGCTGTGTCCCTCAAGAGCCCTTTACTGAAAAAAGTTAACACCACACTCAATGTGAAGAAGAGATGCCTTATCACAGGGCATAAAAGGAAGGGCAAATGTGGAGCTGAAAGGCAATAAATTAATAAGGGCACAGATCATTATCCCAAAAAAATAACACTGTGTGCTTGTTTCTGTGCACAGGCCGGGTGACATGTACAAACATAGCTCCCAATGCAATCCATGGAACTGTCTCCCAGAGTAGGCACCTCCCCAGAGGTTACTTCATTGAATTCTCAAACTGGGGGCAGGGTGAAATTTATTAGATGTGGGAACATATTTCTCCTGAAATATAACCAGACAGATTCCCTAGAACAACCACTTGTCCTAAATAGCAGCAAGACCTTCTCAAGTATAATGATTAAAGTTATCATAGAGAGTCAATCCGTTTCCATTCACCTTAATCTGACTCTTTGCCCACCTTGAAAATGCCAAAAAGACATTATTTCTGGCTTCATTATCTAAAAATGCACAATATTTCAATAACTTGATTTTGTTCCTCACCAATGAAAGTCTCACATGTATTACGCCAAACGACTTGCTACACCCATTGCAATGAAAAGACCATACCTCACTGTTTTGGCCCAAAGGTCAAAGGATCCTTTGGTGCTCAAACATGTGGGCATTATACATAACTCCCACAGCAAAAAGCATTCTAATTCACTCAGCATCAGCAAAGTCTCCAGTGAGTTTCTATATATCTGAAACTACAATAAGGGAAAGGATCCAAACATCTTTATTTCTAGAAATCCTGCTCACCTCCAGATTATTCAGGAGTCTATTTAACCTTTCATGTACAGCTTTTGATTTTCCTGAAAATGGCCACTCCTAACAATTGAAAGATTGGTTAAAGCAGAGAAGAGGAAAATAAAAGACATCGATGTTTACTTTTTAAGACAACCCAACTCTAAAGTTTGTGCAAAAGAAGTAAGTAAGAAAGAAATCTTTCAGATTGCTTTGTGACTCTAGGACTACGGGAGACTCCAGAAGGCCAGAGTCATAAAACCTATTAAATATTCTTCTATGACATGACCTGACAAAAGAACTCCAATAAAATTTATGGCAATAGTAGAGTATAAAGTGAAGTGTTTTTCCCCCAAGAGTGAATAGCATCTTGAAAGAAAATAATTAGTTAATAAAAAGGAGGCTCCCAGCTTCAATTTTCTGAACTAATCCTGATTATACCAAGCTTTCTCAAGTATCCCCTTGGTGCATTTCTAAATGTATTTGTTTTTAAACAATTTTCACTTAGATTAGTGAAAGGCATGCTTTGTGGAGGAAGATTTGAATGCCTCTTGAAAAGAGATTTGATAAATTGCTTTTTACCGCTCAGGGAAGGTATGAAAAAACTTGGTGAAAGTTAATAAGTAAACATGGTGAAAATTAAATTATATTGTCAGTTTATAAATTTTTTATTTTCAACTGTTAATTTCTTAAGTGGTTGTCAGAATCTCCATTTTCTTGTGCAAATACCTGCAACAGGTAACAATTAAGGAAGCCCTAGACGCAAAGAACATTATGTTTTGATTAGTGATGCCAACCGTGCAGTCCAAACCCAACCATGTACTTTGAAAGAGAACGCTATTTAGAGGCCTGACCTAAGTATGTTCACCTCTCCTATTCAAACTGCCCTTACTGACTTCCAGTCTGCCCCAGTTGAGAGCATTTCCACAGTTAAGAGACTCTTCAGATCACCCCAGCTCTGAACAACACTTTTGCTTCCCTTTCCTGTCTCGTCCCTACTGTACTCCCCCCAACTCCAGAAGAGCTAAAAACAGGAAGAAGAAGGAAAGTACCAGAGGAGGTCATGGAAAACAGAGACTACGCTCATCATGCTGCAGATCTTGGAACTTGAGTCAAGCCTGACCTGGAGGAGAGAAGAAGTTGGATTACATGAGATTAGAAACTTTGGCATTAGTTAGCACTAGATTTTTCAACTCCTAAAAATGAGATAATTCTATGTATTAATACCTGAACGTAACTGGGGGAAAAAAAAACAAGCAAAGACACAAGGCCAAATGGGGAATAAAGTACCAGATTTGTTAACAGCTTGATGAAGCCCATTGAAACCTCAAAACAATGGTCCAATGAAGGCTGGATGGAGACCCTACCATATACTGGAAACTCCAGATGAGATTTCCTACTTCCGATCTCTCCAACGAACCTGAGGGTACATCACCCAGATCTGAGGGTGAGGCCTTACTACTGCAATCTAAGGAAAGTCTAGCATAAAACACGCACACCAGTGTTGGGAACCCAAGAAAGAAGAGCGGCAGCAGGAAGGACCACGTTTCCCCTGGTGTTAGCACCATGTGGCAGGTGCTCCCTGGTCCATGTCTGGGAAATCGCCCAGCACAAGCTGCCGTTTGGACAAGAAGGATGCTGAGGATCTTCCAATAGGAGAGGTCAGGGTCCTGGGATAAAGCACAGGGAGTGAAGGAGCTCAAGGAACTGATGGAGGCTGGAGGTCCTGAGAAGCCAAGCCCTATCTCAGGCTCTCCAGAAGGTGGAGGGAGGGCCAGGTCACAGATGAAACTCGCCCTCTAACACAGTGACACTCCCTCACCAGAAAAACATGGCCCTGGTAATGTCTGCATCTGACCACTCTGAGCAGACCCCTCCCCTGTAAGGGCAAGGCTTGGAAAGAAGTGGAAGGTTGAGGAAATGTTTCTCCTCTAAGGGTCAGAAAGCGATCCCACAACCTTATTGATGGCTTTTTGAAGAACTGCTTTTGAGAAGAGACTTAGCTCCTTTGAGGAAATTACATTTTGACTAGAGTGAATGACTTGTCTGAAGTCACCTGATTAACAGCTCCTCTCCTTACCTCCCAGAATGTCTTTTCTTTCATTTATGTTAGTATATATCCTGTATTCCCATCAAGATCCTAAGAACAAGAACTTTGTACTTGCCTTCTACGGTGGCTAACATGGAGAAATCTTAGAGTCTGTTAAATAAAGAATTATTGACTGTTTTATCTCATTCATAAGGGTTCAGAAGATGAATAATATGACCCAAAAAAGGTGCAATTACATTAGGAATGAACAGAAACATTTCACTTAGTGCCTTCTACAGCTAAAGTGCCTGCATCTGAGTTCTCACTCCCAATTTCTTTAATATCAAAGAGTGTTCTATAAATGCATACATTGTAGTAAGGGTGCAAACAAGATGCAGTGTTCCAGGTAGTCATCTGGGTTCCAATAACTGAAGGCTGAAGCCTCCTTGCTGCCGGTGCCTTGCCTCAAATAGCTTTGGTAGCACTGAGCATGTCCCAGGGGCATCCCGGAGTGCCAGCTCCGGAGAGGACCAGAGGACCCCACAGGGAACCAAGAAGGGCCAGCCTGTGAGCTCACAGGCTCTGTCCCTACTCCCTTGCTTTCCTCTCAGCTTCCAATCAGTTTCAGAGAGACCACTGACAGTCAGGGCTGCGCTGAGCCCCACTGGACACAAACGACCCCTGAGCTCTTATATCAGTACTAAAACATGGTGCTCACTTGGGCAGCACATGTCCTAAAATTGGAAAGGTACGGAGAAAACTAGCACAGCTCCTGCGCAAAGATGACACGCAAATTCTTGAAGTGTTCCATATTTTTTAGATAAACAAGTTTCTTCTGTATAACACAGGGAACTCTATTCAATATCTTGTAGTAACTTATAATGAAAAAGCATATGAAAAAAATATATGTGTATGTATGACTGAAACATTATGCTATGCACCAGAAATTGACACAACATTGTAAACTGACTATACTACAATTTTTAAAAATTAATTAATTTAAAAACAAAGAAAACTAAAGCATGTCTCTCAGTCACATGGCATGGAGCTCAGAGTAGCTCTGGAGTCATCCTCAGATGACCTGCACCAATTCCTTCCTCCACTCCCAAACCCTGAGCAAGCATAAGAAGCAAAAAAAGAGGTTTTCTTTAGAGGATGTTCTCCAGGTCCCCACAGTGTGACTGCCCACTGATGCTGCAGGACTGGGAGCCCCGCACAGTCACTGACTGTCCAGAGGGAGTTCTGGGGTGCCTTCTCAGAAATTTTCCTCCTTGGCTTACTTTTAAGCACCTAAACGTGGTTTAAGAAGTACCAGCCTGAAGCTGCACTCCAGATTCCAGCGCATCTCCCTGTGCACGTCTAAGCGAAGGGGATGAGCTGAGCTGTCAGGCTGGCATTGATTCCACTGCAGCTCAAGGCATCAGCCCATCTCAGGGAGCCCTGCAACCTTCCTGTTGCTGCCAGATTCTTTTCCTCTTCCTGGCACGGGAGTACGAAGCCCACGATCATATATAAAGGCTGAGCCTTGGAGAGGTGTATGAATGTCAATTTACATTTCAAAGGTGTTTTTATCTGTTTTAGGGAGACATCTCATCTGCTCATTAAACATCCACCTCCAATCAGCTCTGATGCAGAATGGACCTTGATCCACTCTCACAGATTTGTTTGAGAGCTTTAAACCCTCCTAATCTCAGGCTGGTTCACATCTAACTGCTAAGGGTTTTAGCTGACTATTCAGAAGCAATCACCACTTTATTTGATCATTTAAACAGAGGAATGCATTTTTCCCTCTTGATTCCTTTAATCTTTTTCCTTATTAACAAAAAAAGGCCTTAGGTCAGAAGGTAGGCAGTGATCTGAAGCAAATTACTGATCTCTTTGGAGGAGAGCTCTGTACAAACATCAGGCATTACTGCACCTGACCCTCCGAAAGCTGAGCTTTCAGCCCTTTGCAAAACTTATACCTCCTTCAGGGCTTTATGAATAATTGAAAACACCCATATTTGTGTCTTCTTAAGTACATTCTACATACTTTTTTATTATTATAAGACAGTATAGTGGAGTGGAGACAGATTGCCTGGGCTCATATCCTAGCTCTGGTAATTTATAAATTTCTTAACCTTTCTGTGCCTCAGTCTGCTTATCTGTGAAATGGTCACATAATAGTGCTTCTCTAAAAAGACTGTTGTACTGAATGAATTAATATATGTAAAGTATTAGAACAATCACTGGCACAAGGTTTGGGTTCTATAATGTCAGCTCTGACTCATCAAAACAATCCGTCTAAAATCATACATCTTAAAAATTCAAAATGAGGTTGAACTCTGAATTTTTACTCTTGTTACTGAACCAGGTACATTTGCCTGATATGAAGCAAGCCAGATGCTGAGATGCAAAGGTTGCAGCAGAGAAAGAGTTTATTCATAAGGCAGCCAAGTGAGGAGACAGGAGGTCAACTCTCAGATCCATTTCCCCAAGGGCTTGGGGTGTCAGATATTTTTGAGATAAAAAGGCAGGGTCGTCTGAGACATGGGAAAAGATGATTGGAAGCAAGAAAAAGGTGAAATAATCAGCATCTGTGCAAGTGTAACTCAGTTACGTGCTTCTGTGTGGGGTGCATGTTCAGAAAATGGCAGTGTAGGTATGATCAGAGGGTGGAGGTTTTGGTCCTTTGACGTCAAAAGGTCATCCACTGGACACTTGCACAGGCCTAGCTGGATGGTCAGGGATCTGACTAGTTTGATCTGGACAAGACCAGCTCCATGTTTCTGAAAAACAATTTAAGCAACTGTTAGTATGGCACTCATACATCAGAGGTGTTCTCTCTAGGGGATGGTTAAAGGAGTCTTATGATATATTGTCGAAGCTACATGAAGCTGGGAGGGTATGCAATCTGCAAGCACAATTAAGGCAAGCTTGATTGTAACGGCAAGTTACAGGATATTACTTATTAAGTAAGTTATGGTTTAAGGGATCTAACTGATGACTGTCCTCAGTTTCACTCTCTATGAAGTTATCCATCATCTGATGTTTCTATCTCAGCAGTAACTCCAAGTGCATCACACTGAGGAAACTCTCTACTTTTTTCTTGACTTTTGATGGTTTTGTCTGTAAAATAGAGATAATCAGGATGTTTATCTTATAGGACTGTTGTCTAGCAAATGAGGCCAAAATAGCCTGACAAGTGAAGGCAGGTCACGTGGAGCAGACAGGGTTGCTCTTTGCAAGGCCACAGTATTCATGATTAGGTGAACTCGGTCTAGTTTGAGATCTCCAAAAGGCAGACACAGGAATGGTTGGGAAATCAAAGTCAACACAGATCAGAGAGGAACAGAATCCAAATGTAAAAATAATTAAGATATTGGAGCTAGGAAAGGAAAATCAAAATGTAGTTGATATTGCTAAGAGAGCTCTCTAAAATGCAGCTAGGAGGCAACTGAGGAAGTGGGACTTATGCACATATCAGCCTGGACGGAATCTGAACTTTTGACCACTTACTGTCTTAACTCAGGCATCCAGAACATCTGCACAGTGTTCCAGAAACTCAAGACAATTATCAGTCCCTTACCCTGAATAACTCACGACAGCCTGTCTTTTAAGGGCAAATACTTCCTTTTGATATCAGAGCCAATTACCATTCTTGTAAGACAACATTAACAGCCTTGTGGCCTTTGCCTTTACAAGCCCCTGACTCCCCTGGAACACTCTCTTGGTTCTGTTTTACCCAAGTCTTTGTCTCCCAAATTGCAATTCCTAAGACCTAAAGCTCTTTGTTCTTTGCAGCCTCAACACGAATCTGGTTTCTCTTGCCAAAGTCTGGGGGATGTTTTGTTTTACTCTTTGTTTTAATCAGATTTAATGCACACTCCTCAGAACAAAAGGGGAGACATCAATACCACATGCTCATCCAGTAGTGGAGGGGATGGCGCTCCTTGTGAGACATTGATTTTAACAGACTAATTTAAACGAGGCATGCAGTTAACTCAGGGGGAAACAACATTCTGCAAAATCTATCTGAAAATCTTCTGCACAAATAGGCATATGAATTCCTCCATTTTCTATGGCATAGATAGAATTAACTTCTCCTTTTTACCTTGGACACCGGTGTATGATCCTTTTGAACAAAAAGGTATCTGGCTAAATATACCAACAGCTCACACTCACCTCCTTCAAATGTCCCCCTCCCCTTTTTCTTTTCCCAGTAGCAATCATCATCTTCCAGCAGACTAGCTAATTCAGGGGTTTCTGCGGTTTACACTTTGCTGGCTATCACCATGCTAGAGTGGGCTTCTTCCCACAAGGCCAGGCATTTTCTTGTTCTTGTTTACTGAAAAACTTAAAATAGTGTTTGGTATACAGGAAAAAAAAAAAACTAAACCACCTAAAATCTTCTAATTCCAAATCCCTGATTCTAGTCTCATGGAAAGAAAGATGAATAAGATGAGGGGGAAAAGAGACACATTTGTGCATATAGATTAAATTCTGCATTATGCATGACACCTGCTTGATGATTCAAAGTCTTCAGAGTTTTAGAAAAAAACTTTACTAAAAATCATCATAGTAACTAATGTCAGTTGTTTCACTGGAAAGCTATTTAGAATTCAAACAGAAATAGCAGTATTTGTAGCAAATCGGTTTATTATAACTGATTTAATGATAGAGGAGCAAAAGCAGATGAGGGCAGATCTTTTATTTTTTCCGTTTTAACTACAGACGTCTGCCTAATTGTTTGCATTTCTCCGTCTCTGAGGACAGCAGAATTTCAATAGCCTACCAGATAATGACAGAGCAAAGTGCAGTATCATCAGAGCGGAGGTCGAAGTGGAAGTGAGCTCCCAGCAGCGGAAGAAGCTCACGTCACCTGCACCAGGAGTAACTGAGCAAGCCATCATGTCTCTGCAGGCTTCTCCAATCCATGAAACCCAAGTTCCAGCCTCCTTGTCCCAGGTTCGCTTCAATTCCCACTACAAAGCCCTTCATTCAATCATCTTCCATGTATTAGTGCCTTAGAACAATTTTCTTCCATGCAGAATGCATCAGTTTCGTTAGCTAAAGAAATCTTTTTATTACTGCGTTCATCTCCCAGTAGTCCATTTAATAATAACAATTATAACATCTTAAATTTAAAGAGTGCCTTTAGCACTGCCTTCTCATCAGTCGATTGCTATTTCTTTGATGGTTTTCATGTTGATACTTACATATCAAATGGAGAGATGTAGAGAACAGAATCCTTGAATTATAAATATCACTTTATAGGATCATTTAATCAAATATGGCGATGCCCAGAACAAATGACTGCAGGCTGCATTATGATATATGGCTTATGTGCAAACTACGCATGAAATCCAGGCTCAATAAAAGCCAGAGGCCTTTGAGAAAGGATCATCTGCTAGAACCGCGGGCCATCAGGAGAGTACAGGGCACACATTCTCCAGATGGCTGCCTGGCGCAGAGGAAAGAGTATT